ACCCAGCCCTACTTAGAATTATTTTGCAGTATCAATGTGCTTAATGGACAATATACACATGAATAACTGTATAGATCACATGTGTCAAACTCAAGGCCCGGGGGCCAAATCAGGCCCTTGGTGGATTTAATTTCGGCCCGCAGGATAATTTCTATTTACTATTAGATCTGGCCCGCCGGTATATTGCACGCACACCTTCACTCAATCCTGAGGGTCTCCTCAGCTCAGAGCCTGAGCCCAAACATTGATCAACTTGCACCCAAGATGAGATGCCAAGTATCTGAACTAGCATCACAGAGCAGCACACTGAGTTTAATGGATGTTTCCTTCTGCACTTTATTTCTTGAGACAACAGGGCCTGTTTGGTTTGTTCTTTGAGGGAAATAGTTTTTTTGAAGCTGTTGTTGGCCTGTGGAAAAATGTAATCATAAGAAATGACTCTGCAGATAGAGCCAGAAGAAATGAATGCAACTGATTATTTAATGTTTAATGTTGTTTTTATAGGCAATAATTTAAGCTTTGCTAGTTCCAGGTTTAATATGTGCAATAAGTTCATTTCAATACGTTTTGCAATAAACATTGAACCAGTCCGGCCCTCGACTAGTGTATTTGAGTTTGACACCCCTGCATTAAGGGATGCAACAGAACATACTGATAGAGGATCCATTCATTGAGCTTCATATAATTATGACAGTGGTGCAAAGAAGCTTTTTCCATCAATCAAAGCACTAAGTCACGTGTATAGTTTCAGTACAGCTGGCTATCTTTCATGGCTGCAATATGAAAATGTGTTCAAGATGGAAACTTTGAGCGGAACAGCTTGAACTTCTGGGGATGCAGCTGCAGAACTCATTACTGTACAACTTCAGATAGAAACTCACAGCCAGTGTTTTTATTTAATGAGATGGATTTTTATATACAGCTGAAATTACTATTCTTTAATAGATGGACAGAACATGTATGTAACAAAATCTAGAGACTGCAGCTTCTCCTATGTGATCATTTTCAGTTTTTTAGAGTTTTCTATTATTGCTAAATGAAATGCTTTTCTGATCAGAAAAATAAGATTTTTATATTTCCTCATAAGCTGAATAAGAAAAATATCTGATGATTAGGATAACAATAATTATTGGTTGCAGCCTTTATAAATCAACCAATACATTAATAATCCACACAATATATTTGGCAATATTGACAGTGCTTTTTGGGACTCTGAACAACTGCTGTCATCAACCATCTGTTGATTTAAAGCTGTACAATAAACACGTTTGAACCAAATAAGAAATAGCCAGAAAGGAACACAAAAATACTCAGGTCTTTAGTTAATTAATTTAAATAGATTAAATGCGGATGTGCTACATTCCTCCTCCATAACAAGCTTGAGTTGAGATTTTTTTACATTATCTCAACTCAATTCTACTGATATTCTGCACAAACTGTGCTGTTGTATTTACTGTATGGTGTCCTTACTGTAAGGTAATTATTATATTTACAGCACTTTGGCTCGACCAAAAATCGTTTTTAAAATGTGCTATATAAATAAAACTTGATTTGATTTGAGAGTTGAGATTTTTTTACATTATGAACATTTAGGTAATTATATATAACATTATCATATAATACGAGGTCAATTTAACATGGCTTTTAATCCATCATGTGCCGGGGCAGGTATTGTGTTAAGCTGTCACACTTCATTGTTGTAATTAGGTAGTCCATTATGAATTTGCCTAAATGACAGAAGCCTGTTTGCTGAAAGTGCTGTCGTCCTTCAGCTGCAGTCATCCGTCATTAATCCACTATTCAAGTCATTAACTTAACCAAGAACTCCATCATGCTGCAGTCATGATCGGCACAGAAACAAATCCCTGTCTGAGTGTCACTCAAAGCTTCAATTGAAATGTTCAGCTCTTAAGAAGGAAAGCTTGTAAAGGGTTTATAGGAGAATTCATATATATAATGTATTATTATATATATATATATTATCTTAATATTATTATAGTTATATATAAAATACTGAATCGTAAGCAAATGTTGTGAGTGCGCGTCAATTTATCAATTCATATAAGTTTTTAACATTTTAAACAGCTGTAAGCACACACTCGCACCCTCTGGTGAGCGGGAGGGTTCATCTCAAGGAGTTTTTCCTAATAAATATCTACAATTTAAACAAAATATTTGTGCTATGTTAAGTCAAACATTTGCTCATGCCGTGCTCTCCCCAGCAGCAATATAAAACAGACTACGTCCAAATGAAGGCTGGTTGTCTGTAAGGTTGCGAGAGAATAGAACTGCTATATTTTCCCGCTCAGGCTGTGAAGCAGATGTTTTTAACATGATAGAAAGTCTAAAGAAACAACAGAAAAATCGAAACAGAAAGACTTTTCTTCTAAATTATGCAACTGTGACAACAAAGCTGTTTTCTTCAAGTTAGCAACAAATATCCAGACGGTGGACCTTTTTGGGATGATCTGTGGCCTGAGGTGGCTCGTCTGATCTCCTGAGCCATGAGGAGAAAGATTGCTCTGTTTATCATTTCTCCTTTGACAGGAAGGTCAGAGGTCAGAGGCAGCCTGGAGCAGGGATGGCTTCAGTGATTTGCCTCAGGACCCTGCAGGAGGGAGGACACCTGCTGCGAGGGGAGCTTCAACCCAGACGGTCTGCTTTTAATAATAATAATAATAATAATAATAATAATCTTTCAAATCTCCAAATGAAAGAAAGCCTAGCTGCAGTCCCAGCCAAGTCATCATGCTTAATAACATATCAATATATATGTATTGTGTTGCAAAGCCAAACATATTCAGATTATTACCATATAGTAAAACGATGAGAAGCAGTTGAGGAGCTGTGCCCACCAATGAAGATTTGATAGTCAAAAGGTTGCAGGTTAGTTTTATATCATCGACTAACTGATTCATTGTATAGGCTATAGATACCATGACATGTCATCAGTTCCGAATGGACTTTAAAAATAAAATGCCACCAGCGACGACACTAAGTAATGAAAGCAATCCATATTTATTATTGTTTCTTAGCGCCGGTCTTTAAAAAAATTTAACAGTGTTATATGTCTTTGAGGATTGCATAATTAAAATTCCAGCAAGCCTAAGAATAGATTTGGTCTAAGAGCATCTTCCCTTATAATTAAGATATCATGTGTAGTTATAGCAGCATGTTACCTTGCACAGTGAGGAATGATCACAATTAATAAGAGAGGATAGTGGGATACGGATGAGTGCTTAGTGTCTCAGTTAGGGTATTACTACAATGAGTAAAGGGAGAGAACTAGTGGGATCAGTGTTCTCCTAATGAGTACACTAATGGACACACAACAGACTTTAAATCAAATAGTGAAGCCCACCTGCAGTTCGGCGGAGGGTCCAGTGTAATATCAGCCAGCTCTTTCTGAATCCTGCACACAATGAAATAAAAATCAGTCACTGGCCCAACATCATTCCTCAACATAGAAAAACATGATCATTATAATGATGATATATGATGTCCTTTGGCCACGGTGAAAATGTAAATAGATAAAAGGTATCATTGATATCTGATCTTCTGAGCTTTGATTTACATTACAACACATCACTTTGTGAGGTGTCTTGTGTAAATGCAGAGCAACATTGATTGTGAAAGAAAGAGTGTGAGAGGTTTGGTTTCAATATTTTCCCAGGGGAGAAAAAGGAAGTTCTGAGCCACTCATTCAGATCTTGTCACACATTAGAGTGTGTATGGCCAGATGAAGCTAGTTTCTAGTAAGAATTAGTGGAACTAGTTTTCCTAGTCTTCCTCTTTTATGATGGATTTCTTCCTCCATGACAGATGAATGATAATGCCTGGTAGAAGTATTAGGAAACATTGCTTGTTCCTCTGAAATTGACAGTTCATGTTTCTGCATTTTTCTTCCATCAAAGTTTATTGCAGATGCTTGGGAAGTATCACAATGACTACTCATGTATTCATGCAAAAATATTAGCTAGAAGCGACCAGTTTGTTTAACATTTTGGGTGTTTTTCTTCCAAAAAGGAAATCCTAAAATACTCCCAGAAAGAAATCAGACTGATTTTGGCTGTCAGAATATACAAAAATGATTCATTAATAAACAATCTGTGGATTTATTTTTACCTTTTGGCGCTGGTGGAAAGCAGTTTGGAGGTCTTGCTCATACTGGCTTTGCTCTCCCGTTTCTTTTTGCAAAACGTGTCCCTCTGTCTGGTTTGGCTGGAAGAAGGCGGTGATGAAGAAGAGCTGGTGCTGGCACGAGAATCCTCATCCGACATACCGGTTTGGATTGGAGAAGAGCCGGGACCTGATGGATAAAAACAAGAAAAGCAAAATACACTCAGTAAAACACCACAGCTGCAAGAAGGTGGAGTAGTTTCATAATAGTTTCATAATGATTTCAAACCAAAACAAATGCTAATATGCCCTCAGTGAGGCCACAATAGCTGATATGTTTCATAATACACAAGCTACTTTCACTATATATAAACATTCATTTGGATATTTTCATGAGCAACTGCTAGTAGAGTAGAATTAAACTACATTTACTTAATACCTTTAGTTACTTTGCAGGTTTGGATTAATGATCTGAAATATAAACAGCAATTGAATAAGACTTTCATTACATCTGGAGTAACATTCACAAGCTAACCTGACTTATGCAAAGTAATTCACATTTGCTGCACCTTTACCAGCTTTGATAAAAACATCAATAATTATAACCAAAACATACATTAGCCAATGTACATAATGTGCACATTTATTGTTGTTACTTTAGGTATGTATGGCAATATTGTTGTACTTTAAGTGAAGTAACATTTTGAATGCATGACAATTACTTGTAACAGAGTATGCCTGCATTCTGGTAGTTTTAGTGTTATTCAAGTACAACCTCTGAGTACTTCATAAACCAGGGGAATTGTAGGCTAGTTATGCAGTGTTTATTGTGTGTGTGAGAGGGGGCGTCACACACGGCAGGTAGCTTCTGCGCTTTAATTTCCACATATTTATCGTTAGCTAACGTTTCCGTAACGGGGAACGAAATGCCGTTAGCCAACAAGCTAGCGAAGTGCACAGTTCACACATCCAAGTTAACCACTTCACACCTGTAAACTCAAGACCATAGTTATTATATCCTAATACATGTAGAGGTTTAGTAATCTCTTGGTGACCCTGGCATAAACACAGCTACCTGCAAAACGGTTGCCCCCCTCCCCCTTTAACTCAACGAACACCCAGGCCCTACGACTTAAGGGATAAGACTACTTCTTGGAACGGCGTGGGGAAAGCTGCTTGCTAAGCATCCTTCACAAGTGATCGGACAACCGGGTAACCGTAACATAAACGTACACATGGATTGCCTTAAGAGTTAAACATAACGTTACAGCGATGTACATCAAAACAGACCGTTTAAAAATACATCCATAGGCTAGAAATGACAACGAGACATTAAACGCGTCAGACAGCAGCCAGGAACAACTCCGTTCCAGCACATAGTCGGAGCCCCTTTTCCGTTCAACCAACTAACCACGACCGTGTTGTTTCTTTTCACCCAACAAACTGACCTTCGACTTCACTTGGAAACACACACTGGCAGCAGACCGAACCGCTAACTTTGACCATTCGGTAAAATGTCGTCCCTAGATCATCTATTTTTTCTCGCTAATTAAACTTACCCAGTCTATTGTGTCTGGACCTCCGCCACAGTCTAGGCTGGCTGGTGCCTGTCGCCCTCTGCGGAACGGAAGTAGCCTACCGCGGCTGCAGTGGGCTGTACGGCCCCGGTCCTAGACTGGAAACAAGACAGTTTACATTATGACGACTTTAATACAGATTAACTAATGTGTTCATTCAATTTAACTGATGTATTGTTATCTAAACAGCATTTTGCTCCGGCACATTTGTTTGCAAAAGTAAGTCGGTCTTTGAGTTACATTAACTTCAATATTTGAGCAGATGGTGGTCTGATTCAAGTCTAAACACCAAATAGTCTTAATCAACACATGCTAAATACATAATTGTTTCATTCGTTTTTTTTTCTTTTTCTATTTGATAAAAAAAAAAATTAAACTCACAATTTATTAGGTGATGATAATTACTAGCCACTAATTAATTGCCATTTCAATGAGATGATCTGGAAAGGATGATCTGTTGTTTACTATAGTCAGGGATCTAATCTAGACCTTCAGCAATGACTGTTGCTGCATCACTTGCCACAGAAACTGAAAAACCACTTAAACTGAGCGGGTCTGACTCATGTCTAAGAAGGTATTATTATAGGGCCAGTGAATTGAAAATATTCATTGCTGGAAGCTGCAGCCCGAAGAGCCCACTTGAAATGTGAATGATATGTCTAGTTTGTAATTTTGTAATGAAGAGCATCAATTCTCTGCACTTTCTGCATCCTTCATGTGCAACCAACCTTTCAAACCCATTTCATTTGAACTGCATCATGGTGCAATTATTGATAAATGACATATTAAGAGATTTGTAAACTGGAGCAGGTGCTCTAAAGCAGTTTAACGAGTCGTGCAGAACATTATGTAGGCTCCTATTACCTGCTGGTGGATGTGTGTGTTTAAAAGGTTAATCTCTAATTCCGTACACCGCTGGGTAAATATTTTTGACACTATGTGCTCATCTTTAACCCTTTTAAAGTCCTGAATAATGTATTTCCCATTTGTACTCTCTTAAGTTACAGAACGAATACACCTTTTCACACCTCATCTGTCTGCTTCAACACTTTATTGAGACTGTAAAACTGAGTACAACCCAGGATGCATGATTCACAGTGGAGTGAAACTTGAGGATATGTGCTCCAATATTCACCAGCACAAAGACCAGAAAGAGCCATTGAAGAACAACATGTCATTGTTTTAAGATCACGCTAATGCTAATTAATTCAGACAAGTGTAATTACTGTAAAAAACGAATCTAATCATTTTCTTTAATTGTTGGCAAATATTTGTATATATCTCCTGTTGTAGCTACTTTTAGCAGCCATTAATAAGGCTGGAGGCAACAACAGACTTGGAAAAGATGCGCAACATATTGTTGCATATGAAATGACCTGAATTTCCTCAGTACATGGCATCTACACTTGCGTAATTGTTTCTGTAACGAGCCTTGGTGTTACAATTTCAGTCCAGTTTGTTGTCAAGGTGAACTCAAAAGCGCCTGTACTTACCCACCACCTCCTCTCCCAGAATGTAAATGTGATCAACAGCAGTCCTTGTTTTCCTGAAGTCTATGACCATCGTCTTGGTTTAGGTTACTTTGAGAGGTATGTGGCTCCCTCTGCACCGCTGTACTATACCTCAACAGCCAGTGGCAGACTGGCCGATAAGTCACTATAGCATTTTGTTTCCCAACTTCAATTGAATATTGAAATAACTTTACTCTGCAATAGACTGACACCCTTGTTTACCTATAGCATGCTTTGTTCAGATCATGACGTATTGAAGATTGTCAAGGTACTGTTCAGAATTAAATAAAGCATTTAAAATCTTACAGAGCGGTGACATCAAGAGTTGTATCTCTGTTGAAAAGGTTGTTGTGTGTTAGGGTTCTGTGCTTTGACATGTTTGTGGGGGTTAGGCTATAACCTTTTGAAAAAGGTGAGCTCATGCTGGTCGGGTCAAGTGATTTGGATCTGTTAACATTGTATCTGTCTCATTTAAATGTCTTCTGAAGTGTTTTGGTGAGTGTATCTAATTTCTTTGTCTTTTTACAAGGAGTGACCCATCAATAAAAAGGGGTGGCGTTTTAAGCAGATTTATGACAATACATGTTCAGTATAAATATCCTGGTTTCTAATACAAGCTTACAATGTAAGTGCTTCATTTTATTTAAAGGAAACAGGGGAGCATCAACATGCAACAGTGAGTGACTGCATTATACATTTTTGTATTATTTGCCAATGGCTATTCCACTTAATGTTGGGTTAAGTTATGCTTCTTGAAATCTTACCTTATAAAGCATCAGTTGTCCCATTTGTAGATATTTTTGATGGACCACAACTCTGAAGTCAATTAGCAACTTTTAGCGATTTTGGCACAGCTGTGCTTTTGAGTTAAATACTATCCTCGACCTGCGAACATGCTCACGATTACGATGCTTAAATGCTGATGTTAAGCAAGCTTAGTGTTTACAACTCCAGTTTAGTTTAGTGTGTTAAAACGCTAACATTCTGTGACAAACACTAAATACAAATTCCAGCAAAGCCTGGTGGGAATATCATTAGTTGTACAGCTTTTTTTAAACGAAAAGGCCTTGTATTTGAAAAACTACTTTGAAATATATATTATTCAGGAACTAACAAGAGACATCGCAGACCTGGATTATAGTTTAAACACAATCACAGACTATTATGGAGAACCGTTCATGAGTTTCATGAGTATGCTGCAGGCAGGAGACTCACAAATGAAAACATCACACCTCCTTTATGGAGATAATAAAAGCTACAATGTAAGGCATGAGTCATAATGAGCTACCAAAGCAGGCATCTGATAAGAACTTTATTATATTTGAGCTGATGTTTCAGATTGTAAAGTTTTACAATCCGGCGTGTGAGACTTTAAGCTGTCCTGAGCTGTGTTAGAAGATCAGTGAAGAGGTGTAAATATTTGAGGCTGTAGTCAAACATAAATCCCGGACAGAGCCGAGCGTTTTCTCACAAGCCGACCACAGTGTGTTTTATTGGGTGCTTCAGTAATACAAGTGCACAACAAACCACTCTGCAACTGCAGAGGTGGCGGGTAGCCAGTAAATATACAAGTCCTGCCTCTTTCACAGGCAGACCTATACTTTTGTGGTCTGCCTCAAAAGCCTTTGAAAAAATACATACAGTACAAACAAAATCAGAGGAAGTTCAAACGCATGAAGGATCTATTGACTTAAACCTTCCTGTTCCATGCAGATAACATGACAAATACAAAACAAGGAAAACAAAGTAAAAGCATATATTCTGCATGTTTGTTCCAGGTGCCACTAAGAAAATGAGAATACATACTGTATAGCTGAAGGACGAGGAGGATGATATTTATAATATGTGTTTTTTTTTTTCTCCAATACAATACTTCCAACATTCAGATATTGGAAAAATAAAAATCCCAATCTACTCTTTGTATAAAAAAAGAAGCTTTCAAGTCAACAAGGAACAAAGGAATTTTTTTTTGTCTTATTTGATTTTTTTTAACACAGAAAAGGTAGATAAAATGTTGGTGTTGAGGAGGAAAAGGAGGCAGGTGAAAGGAGGGCAGGTTTACCATCGCACTTAGTGAGTGTGCTTTGACAGACTAAGGGTGATAGAGAGGTAGAGAGAGGTACAGTGAGGGGGGAGGGAGGTAAAGGGGGGGGGGTGGTTGGTAGTCTATGTGGCGTATCTCTTCGTCCATTGTTTGGCTATTCTGTCATGCTCTGTTCTGTTGGTCAGGTACTGTGTGGCGATGCTCCCCACCAGAGGGTCAGCTGAAAGGTAAATAAACAGAGACATTATTAAAATCATTAAGGATTATCAATCACTAAGCAGGAGTCAAACAGTGGAGCTACTGTTAACAAAAACAACTTTCCCAAAAATGTTTATCCTCTCAGGCTCAGATTATGTAAACGTTAGTGCAAGGGAGAAAATGAGTTATAAAACAACATTTTCTATTGGCTCTTTTGAAACTTGAAAACAAGGACAGTATTGGTTATACATACACAAATATAATAAATCTGCCAACACATTTTGTAGATGATAAACGTTCATCAACAAGCTATAACTATTGTAGCGCATATTACATCCTTGAAAATGTAAGGACCATTTTTGCCATCCACTTTTTTTGAGATTCCTTTAATTGCACAATTTGCACATTTGACTATTTATAAAGAGCATTAGAACTATGGTCAAAATTGATTCCTTTAAAGTGGACCTATCATGCTATATTTGAATAATATATTGTAGAGCCATACCTATATAAAACATGTCTGTGAAGTTTTCTTTTCAAAATACCAAACAGATCATGCATTTTAGCCATGCCTCATTTCGCTCTATTTGCTCTTTTCCAGACCTGTTTTTGCAAGGGCCGTTTCTGTGGCAAATGAGCTGCAACTGACCACGCCCCCCTGCAAAGGAGGGGGGTGAGGCACGAGTGTCATGTTACCATGCTGTTACCATGCTGTTACCATGCTGTTACCATACAACGCAACCTCTCATTCCCCTGATAGCTGGAGAGTGGCCCATATATGCGGAGCTCCTCGTTTCTGACATCAGAACAATTTCAAATCTGGATCAGTCTGTATCAGATCCAATGCAGCCCCGTTTTCAGAGATTTGGGTATGGAGGAAAAGTGAGAGGGTTGTGTTTTCTGACACTTGGTGAGTTCCCTGACACAACGGGGACACATATTCATGTATAAAAGACGTACTANAATGAATGCAACTGATTATTTTCTGTTTAACATTGTTTTTATAGGCAATATGAAATGAACTTATTGCACATATTAAACCTGGAACTAGCAAAGCTTAAATTATTGCCTATAAAAACAATGTTAAACAGAAAATAATCAGTTGCATTCATTTCTTATTAGACCCTCCAGAAAAACGCGGGCAAAAATCCTTGATTATGCGATTAAACATGCGGGGTTTTTATGTGATTTTATGCGGTGAAATTGCGGGAAGTTGCGAATTATGCGTGAAGTTGCGAAATATGCTAAATATGCGGGGGAAAAGAATAACAATTTTTTTAAATATTGGGCTGTCTTATTTATTCTCTCTCACACACAACCTGCCACTAACGTTAAACCCCTTTAGTATTCAATTAAACACATTCAATAGTTTATTTATTGTAAAAGCAATTGGGCTATTTTAATCTCACACACACACACACCCACACACACACACACACACACACACACACACACACACACACACACACACACACACACACACACACACACACACACACACACACACAGGCGTTGACAAAAACTAGTCTCCAATTCAGTGTTATGCAGTCTGATCTCATTAAATGTCTTAAAACTTTATCTACAGGATCCTTGAGAAAAAGACATGCACCATATCCAAGGCTGTCATTGTTTTTGCATAAAGAAAAACTAAAAGTATGAAGAAGAAAAAAGGACTGTGGACTGTTACAAATACTTCCACTAGAGTTGAGACTTCCACTTTAATAATCAAATATATCACAGACAGAGCAGAACACTCCCTGCACTAAATCAACAGATTTAGCAATGTTTTGGTTTCAAAACACCAGCCTGATGTTTGCATGCTAGCATTAGCTTCGTGTCAGGGATGACTGAATAAAGAAGATTCATGGCTTCACCTCTCGACACGAGAGATAACACATCGTCGTCGTATTTGTTGACAGCTATATTCACTACATACTGTAGTTAGAACCAGCTGACCACGTAGAGACTGAGGACACATTATCACAACAGTCCCGTAAAGTGCAGCACAGCGCTTATGTAACTATTCACGTAAAGGTTATTGGGACTGATGTGACTCAAGACAGTTCATGTGGCAGCTATCAGTTTTCCACCTTTGACTTAAAGTAATATTGTTGCTTCTTGGGTAAAACAAATCAGAGAAGACAGAAATCTAAACCTGTAACACATTTTCATGCTGTGTCATCACTGTTCACACTGCGTGAAACAGATGGATGTGGTGGATCTGGTGTGTATTTAATGCCAGGGTGTGAATAAGGATATCATGCCATCTGTGATCCATGATGTATTTGATTAACAAATCACTTGTGTACACATGCACATCCAGTACAAGCTTGCTTTATTAGCGCTTAGTACTAACACTCAAATGAATGTTCTGCTTGAACCTGCTGTAATTGTTCTCCTTCATTAACTCTTCACTGGCTCACATGAAACACATGACCATGCTCAAAGATTTGGTCTTTGTACACATTTGGCCCTCTCTGCACATAAACAAAACAAATGCTTGATTTAAAAAAGCAATCATGTCGAGTACTGCAGACTTATTTGTAAAATACCTTTTTAACGTGACTAAGCTTATGTAATGCATTATTAGATCAACATGAAAACAGATGAAAATCACATGAAACTGAATAAAATGGAATGATATGCAAATAGATGAAAAATATAAAACAAGGAATTTATGACGTGTTTAAAGTAAGGTTGGTGAATGCTGAGTTGTTGGTCTGGTTGCTTCTATGTCCAATCCATTCCCCCCAAAACAGTTGCTGTGGTTGTCTCCACTGCAGTCTTAATCTTGATAATAACGGATCAAGCCCGAGCCAAGCTGAAGAGAATAAATGCAGTGCTGTGTTGACTGTGTGTCGGGTTCAGATGAATTGCTCGGCTGCAGGGTTAGGGTTAGGGTTAACCCTATGTCTGCTCAGTCAACACGAGGTCAGCTCAGCAGAGGCCTCTTTCCTCTAGTCATATGACAATGGGGTGATTTCCCTACAAACCCCTTGCTGACTGTCCTCTGGTGTGCCTCTTTTCCCCCCTCACTGCATCAGAGTCTGGAAGAGGGTGGGGACAGCTGGTCAGAGTCAACCAATCACATGCTGCCCCCGCCAACCTCCAGTCTGGGAAACCTCTCCTCATTGGACGTCACCATCGATGAAGAACTGCCCACAGACCCCAGCAACTCCTCTGACACGCAAGAAGAGAGTGAGTGTGCTTTCAATGAAATAACCATTGAGAACAGTCGTGATGAAATGTATACGAAGATTAGATTACGATGAACATTGTTACATTTATTTTTAATGATGTACTTCGTTAATTGATTCAACAAAAAATCAGGGACATTCTCAACACAACTTGCAGCTGATTCAGCATTTATTGTGTCTTTAAACATATTTGTTCTCATAGGACTTTATGCTATCCTTAATACTTGTTGTGTCCTCTTTATTTAATGTGCTGTGCTCTCCTAAGGTTGTTCGCTCAATCTGACTGTAAGCTAACCTTGTCTTTTCAAAGGTGCTAAAGATGATTTATTCAGTAGTTCTCTTATTGTCCCGTCCTCCTGAACCCCAATACGCTTCTTTCTGCCTCATCGCTTCCATCTCTTCTTCCTTCTACAAAAACTCACCGGGAAGATTATTCAAACATTAACTCAGAGATATTTACTGCTCCGTGGTTTAATCTGTCCAGATCAAATGATTCCTTTGGGAGTTCATGCATGCTGTTATGGCAGATTGTCAGATGACTGATTTAAACCTGCCTCCAAGTTAATAAAATAGTTTAATATCAAAGCGTATTTATTAGTGGAATATGTTAATGTGTAAACTACTCAAAAAAACCTACACATTCAGGAATAACAAGACATATAGCGACAATCTGGGTTTCCTCTCAAGCATTTTGCAATCAAGTGCAGATGGAGTAAGTGTGATTATTGAAATGTCAAATCCATCTCTAAACCATCTTACGTAAATCACGTACTGTTTACATTTGATGTCAAAAGTTCAACATTATATTTGGATGTATTTCTAGAGTTTGGACCTGCAAAGGATTTATGATTAAGCAATAGCTCACGACAGGCCGTGGTATATGGTCATTATATCACAGCTAAGGGGCGTGGTTCTGCGTGATATAATGACCATATATCACGGCCTGAAGTGAGCTATTGCTTTTATAAAACGGTTACCAAGTGTGGCAATATGAAAGAAAAATACACACTCTAATTTAAATAGTTTTTATTAGTAAATAATGACGTTCAAAATAAAATAGTCCCTCCGTTGCCTTCTGCACAAAACATAGTGCGAGGTGGTTGCTATGCAACAGCTAGCGAACATATTAGACAGACAGCGTTGATTCATTATTTGGCCATTTATTTACATTCATTTGTATGTTGCTGTTTATTGTGCACCCACTGAAAAACTGTCCAGCATCAGTAGAATGGCGTACGAGGTTACTTGTATAGGTTGAGGTTGTTCTAGGCCAGGGATGGGCAAATGGCGGCCCGCGGGCCGCATGCGGCCCCCACCCCCTCTTTTTGCGGCCCTCAGATTAATTTATAAACAACGTAATTAAAAAAAAAAAGTTTAATTTGTTTTACTTGTAGTACTGATACCGTCCACTAGACTCCTAGTTACGTCGCGACCTGCGTACATGATTT